CCGTGAGCCATGGTCGCTGAGCCTGCGCGTCCGTGAGCCATGGTCGCTGAGCCTGCGCGTCCGTGAGCCATGGTCGCTGAGCCTGCGCGTCCGGAGCCTGTGCTCCGCAGTGGGAGAGGCCACAACAGTGAGAGGCCCGTGTACCGCAAAAAAAAAAAAAAAAACCAATAAAAACTCTACTTTCTATCTGATCCCAGCTAGTCGTGAGAGAAAAGAGGCAGTCCAGTTTCTCCAGACTTTGCTTTAACAATATCAGTGTTTCCTCACCAATCCAAACAAATTCCAACCTATCTATAAACAAAATGCTGTTCTCTATTGTAACAGCTCTCCAAGCCCTTGATTCTAGTAATTAACTAATCATCCTCATATGGCCCTTAGGGGGCGGTATTCAGAGACAGAAGTGGGTGAAAAAGCATAGGAAAGGCAGGGTATGGATACTCCCTGCACTGAAGAGGAGGAAGGGAAGCAAGGAAGAGGGGAGAGAAATGAAGATTATGAACGAGGTTGGTGAAAATAGGTCATGGAATGGTGACAAGGAACTTTCAATCTACCAGAGAAGTTCCATCATTTCTTGGCATGTCAGAGTCCCGTCAGTTTCCAGGCTCAGGATAAATAGTGAAAGAGTGAATCTTCTTTTTCTTTTCCTTTTGGCCACACTGCGCTGCATGCTAGATCTTAGTTCCCTGACCAGGGATGGAACCTGCGTCCCCTGCAGTGGAAGCGTGGAGTCTTAACCACTGGACCACCACAGAATTCCCCAAAGAGTGAATCTAACTCTTGAATCGATTTTCTCAAGATGGTAAGGATCAATGTGCGGGCTGTACACTTACATGTGAGCTTTTGTGTATGTGCAGATATTTTCAACTGAGTCAGAAAATTATCATATCAAAGAAAGCCCAGGAAATTGTCTCTGCTTTCCATGACCTCTACCACCTCTTCTGGTCTCATGAGATTCTACCATCTGCACAATTTTAGGTACCTGACTTAGAAACTCTGTTCCCTCCATTAGCCTGTAGTCTGGCTCTTGACTATAAAGACTTTCTTACGGTAGTCTCTAGGAAATGTCCTACCAACGGACCTTGTGTGAGACTTGTCCAGAATAAGAGAACTGTGTGATCCCACCTATCAATGTTTCCTCATGCATGCATTCAATAATTCATTTTCCACCTGTAGATATCTATTGAACATCTATAATGTGCCAGGTACTAGGCCAGGTATTGTGGATACAATAACGGGAAAAATCTTGAAACATGGGTCCCATTCAGGGAGCTTAGGATGCAGGGGAGGAGACGAGTATTATTCAAATGAGCACACACAAAATTAGGACTATGATAAGTGCTTCAAAAAAGATACATGGTGCCATGAGAGCATGGATTATAGACTTAGATTTATATAAATCACCAGGAAGAAAGGACATCTCAGCTGACATTTGAAGGATGAACAAGAATTAACTATGACAGCATTACAGATTGAATAATTGCATGTGCAAAGCCTAGTGCCACCGCCCAACTCTAATCTTCACAGAGAAGAATCTGGAACCTTCCTTATCTCCCCTAGAGCCCTCCTGGGTCTCAAGAACCTCCTTTGCTCCATCCATTATTGGGTCCTCATTCTTCTCCTTTCTCTTTAAGGGACAGGTTCCCTTGGAGAAAATGCCTATTTTCCGTGTAAAGGACGTTGACTCTCATGGTTCGCATTGCCAGGGCTCTTGCCTGGCAGCCCATCCCACGTCATCCATGTATATCGTTCTATATTATTCAGAGACTGAAGAAGGGCCATGCCTTGCAAGTGGACAACTTTATGAATAGGCACAATACGTCAAATCAGCGAGACACAAAGCTCCATATGATGTCCAAAGGAACTGCTTTTCAGAAAGACATGAGTTCAGATTTTCAGGTTGGTTGGTATAAAGATTGCACATAATGGAAATATTCTGTGTCTTGAGGGTGAAGTGGTGGTAACATGGGTTCGAATACATTTGTGAACATTTGCTTGATGTATGCACTTACATGCTGTGGAATCAGGTTTAAAGTGGATACAGTGGAGAAAGGAAACAGGAAAATGAAGGGTAAAGGAAGGATTCAGGACACTACCAGAACACTTGTAAGCACATTCACAAAGTCACACTGACAAAGGACTGCCAGAGTAAAAAATTTATTGCAGTACACGGAAAACACAATGGTCCATAGTAAGTAAAAATGTAATTTTACTTTCAACACCAAAAATCTACAAAGTCCCTCCTAGAACCCAGATTGCTCACGCGATAGAAAGGTTTGTTCAAGGTAGGTTTCTAAGCATAACCTCGAAGAAACCCAACCTCTGGTAAAACGCAAAGACAGACAGTTGTTCTTTGCAGTGGAATATACCCCGGAATCGATCTATGTCTACCTCTATCATGTAATCTCTCTACCATCTATCTACCTATCTATCTATCCTTCTGTGTCGTCGTCGTCCTCCTCCTCCTCCTTTCCCCATCTCTCTCTCTCCTTTCATTTTCCACATGAAACAGGAAAATATGGAGGGATGAAAAGGCACAAATCACATCACTAAGGTTCGCAGTCTGAACGGCAGAAGAACAGAAGTGTTTTCCTCTGAATGTACATCCTGGCAGCCTGTCTTCTGGACACGGGGACACATCTCCCTGAGCTGGGATGCGGCAGGAGCTGATGTCTGGTGCGTGCTGAACACCGTTCCCGGAACGAGTGGATTTCTGTCCGCTGTGGGGGAAGCTCGTCGCCTCCGGGTACACGATGCTGCCGCGGAGCCTTGCACGACGAGGTGGCGGCGCGGAGTCCGGCTGGCCCTTGGGCGGAAGGGACCGGCCC